GTTTAAAATTGTTTGAAGATTTTCAAGTTCATTTTTCAAATTTTCAAGCTCTTGTTCAGCTCTAATTAAAGCATTTTCATACCATGACAATTTTCCTTTAAGCTTAGAATTTAAAGCATCTAATTTCACAGCCTCTTTGTGAATTTGAATGAAAGCTTCTTGAAGTTGATCATAATCAGGATTAGATTCAAGATCAAAATCACTTACTATTGTATTTTGATCAGCTCCAGCCATCAAACATAAGTTATTTTCCTCAAATTCAGATTCATCACTTGTTGTGCTTGAGTCATTATCTTCCCAAGCTATGTAGGCTCTTTTTCCTTTGTTGTTTTTCTTCCCTTTCTTTTCCTCTTGTTGCTTCTTTAGAAGGTTGGGGCATTCAGCTTTTATGTGGCCTGATTTTCCACATTCAAAATAATTGTAAGAAGATGTGCTCCCTTCATCTTTCTTATTAGCCTTCTTGTTGAACTTGTAGGGGGATCTCCTTTTCTTTCTTAGGAACTTTCTGAACTTCTTCACCAGCAAATTGAAGTTCTTTGAATCAGAATCTTCAGAGCTTGAGTTCTCACATATTTCTTTGCCTTTGACTGATTTTAATGCTTTTAGAGACACTCATTTTCCCTTTTTATCTTACTGTTCATTTTCTTCAAAAATGTGCAGCTTTTTGCTCATACTTTCTTCTATTGCAGTAACGTTTGCTTGCCAATATCTATCCAAGCATTGTAGAACCTTCAAATTTAGTTCCTCTTCTTCAATTTTCCTACCAAGATCAACAAGGTGATTTATCAAGTGTGTAAACCGTTTTTGAAAATCAAAAATTGATTCACCATGATTCATTCTCAACAATTCATATTCTCTTATAAGAGTATGCTTTCTAGATCTTTTTACATCACTTGTTCCTTCATGAGTAACTTGTAGTGTGTCCCACATTTCTTTAGATGACTTGCATTGAGAAATTCTAAAAAAACTCATCAATAGACAATGTAGATGTTATTATGTTCTTTGCTCTATAGTCATATTGAGCTATCTTTTTCTCATCATCACTCCACTCACTCCAATGTTTTTCTCTCTTTCCATCACCATCTTCGGTCATAGGGATATAGGGTCCATTTTCAATTGCATCCCATACAGCAATATCAATTGCTTCAATGAAAATTCTCATCCTAATTTTCCAATAGACATAGTTTTCACCATTGAAAATAGGAGGTCTATGAATAAAAACACGCCCACCATAAGGTGGGTTGTTGTTGGCCATTTTTGAAATCTTGATTAACACTCAAGAACCTTGCTCTAGATACCAATTGTTAGAAAAGAATGGCTCAATCCAAGAGGGGGGTGAATTGGATTCTATGACACTTTAAAAATTTATCAGAGTTTTAAGGATCTTTATTTCAACTTAAAATTTTCTAATATGAATTCTCAAAGAAGTTTCTTGAAATACTTGCCAATGGGAATGAGTCCTATATGATTTCTTGATTAATCTTGATTAAGTTTAGTTTTAAGAATAGCTAATATGCGATACTTTGATTTAGTTTAAAGCAATGTTAAGCATACAAACATATTAATCAAGATCAGCCATTTTATCACTCAATTAAGATTTTGCTCAATGTAAGAGATAAAGGTGAGAGAAGAATGCACAAGTGTTTTATCCTGGTTCAGCCACTCCACATGTGACTTACATCCAGTCCTCAATCATAACCTGATCAAGATTTATTCCACTATCTTAATGAAAATGTTTTACAAGCATACCACACATGCATATGAATTTATCAAAAAAACACATAGAAGGGGGGGCTGAATATCTGTGTGTTAGTATGAAGGAATTTTATAAACATTTTCGCAAGAGTAATACTCTTCATCTAATTTTGAATGTCAGACAGTTACATAGAATTTGGTTGACATAATGTCATTACTTTTGAAGGATTCATCGTCTACTGAGAAACATGTTTTATAATGATAATTATTGAAGTTCTAACATTTTCCTTTTCAAGGTAGTTTCACTTGAAGACAAGTAGAGGATAAAGCTTTTCAGTCTAATATGTTTGTTAAACAAAATTTGCGTCTTCGTTTGGAAAACGGTTTTAATAAAGAATAGATAATAGATTAAGATTAGTGGTAATTTGACAATTGAAAATAATCTGCGTCTAAAATATAGATAGAGCAGTGCAATCGCTTTTATACTAGTTCACTCAACTGAGCTACGTCTAGTCTCCTTCAACTTGAAGGGTTCCACTAGATATGAAATAAAGTACACAAGTATTGTTGACCACTTCTGGCCCGTTGATTTCACTCATCAACGCTAGTATATTCTTCTCAACCTCTTTAGGATAGCAGTGAGTATTATGAACCACCTAGGTAAGAACCACTCCTAGTCCAAGTAATCTCGACCATTCCTGGCCCGCCAGCTTCACTCACCAATACTAGTATTCCTACACCATTTATGGTTCAAGTATTCTCGACCACTCCTGGCTCACCAGCTTCACTCACCAGCGCTAGTATTCTTAAACCACTTCTGGTTCTCCAAGTATTCTTGACCACTCCTGACCCGTTGGCTTCACTCACCAACGCTAGTATTTTCTTATCAGCCGCTTCTGGCTAGCAGTGAGTAATCTTTGACAAGCCTCTCCAGGCTTTACAAGTATTCTTTTCCTAGCCTCTTCAGGCTTTACAATTACAGATGTGTGGTCGGGTTCGAGTATTTGGGGTTACTCCCACAGAGAGGATACATATATGATCTGATGGAGGACCATCCTTGAGACATCATATAAGGCCTATCACAAGGTCCATGGCTAGGAGAGTAGAGGAAGATGAAGAACACACCACACCAAAAGCCATGATCATCATGTGTGTGGATTTTGGGCCCTCTCCTTAGCTTGATGCTTTCCTTTCCTATTTTGCCCTTGTATTTTGGGGTACATTCGCTATTAGGATTTTATTGTGTATTTTTATTTAGCCTTTGTATTATGGGGGAAAAATAGGCTTAGGATTTATTTAGGGACTTAACCTTGACTAGTAAGGTCAAAAGTCTATTTCTTTCATTTTCTAGGACTAAGGGTACTTTAGTCTTTTTGGAGAGATGAGAGCCATTTCATTTGGACTGCATCTAGGGTTCATTTAGGGTGTATTTGGACTTGAAATTTTCGGCCAAATGCTCCCAAGAAACCCTAGGATGCTCTCCTATCTCTATAAGTACTCTAGTCCCTCCACCTTGTACCCACTTTGGAATATATGCATTTTGAGTGAGCCTTTGTGCCTCAAAATCCTTCCTTAGTCTCCTAGGTTCCTCATGCCCAACCTCCTCTCCTCTCTACCCTAAGGAGAGTTTGAGTTTCCCTTGAGTGGCCTCCACCAACCCTTGGTGGAGAGAGCTAGCCAAGAGCACCAAAAACACCTTCCACCTTCCCACCTCCATTTTCGTCCACCTTCACCTCCACCCTTCAATATTGTTTTTCCGCCACCCTTGAGGAAAATCCAACCATCATCCTTCTTCCTAGACCGTGGAGAAAGAGGGAGCTCCTCCTTGGAAGCATTTGATACTTATAGTTGAAAATTATGAATGTGCATCTTTTACCCAATGATACTTGAGATAATTATTTTATATTAGACTAAGAAAGAATTTATATATAGATGGTTTATATCTATTGTAATTATGTTGGGGTAGAGGGTGTCACATCCTAAGAAGCTCACACTATCTAGACAAAACTCACACTTAGATAACTTAACATAAAGTCTCTTATCCTTAAGGGTTTGCAACACTGTCCTAAGATGCTCGGTATGCTCTTCCCTAGTCTTAGAATACGTAAGGATGTCATGTATGAAGACCACTACAAACCTATCAAGGTATGGGTGAAAGATCCTATTCTTGTAATCTATGAATACTCTAGGTGCATTAGTCATGCCAAAAGGCATAACTAAATACTTATAGTGCCCATAGCGAGTCCTAAAAGTAGTCTTCAAAATATCCTCAAACTTCACCCGAATTTGGTGGTAACCTAATCTCAAATTGATTTTGCTAAACATACAAGCACCAATTATTTGGTCCATGAGGTCATCTATCCTAGGTAAAAAATATCTATTCTTAATGGTAACCTTATTGGATTGATGGTAGTCTACTCTCATGCTCCTAACCTTTTTCTTCACTAGCAACATATGCGCCCCTCAAGGTGACACAATTGGCCTAATGATGAATTGTTTCTCTTGAAGCTTTTCTATTTATTCCTTGAGTTCAACTAACTGCTTAGGGCACATCCTATATAGGGTGTTACAGATATGGGTGCAGTATCATGTACTAAGTTTATGGAAAATTCAATCTCTTTCGCAAGTGGTAAGCTAGATATATCCTTAGGAAAATTCTCAGGAAACTCACTCACTAAGGGGATCTCACTAATTAAGTTCGTTGTCTTTCTCAAGTTTCGAATAGGAAAGAATCATGTATACCTTATAAGTTTTCTTTTAAATAAAAGGGATACTTCTATTTGATTTTCACATTTTTAGACATTTATATGTCTTTATTATATAATATTTTTTTCACAATTATATCTCTTAATAAAGGTAAAATAGAAGAAAAAATATATAAAAAAATTTATCAACTCTATCAATCATAATTACCTTTTTATTTTGTAATCACATTTAATCTTTAATTTGATTTAAAATTAATTATATATTATCTCATTTAATTTACAATCTTATAACTTTATTTTTTTTATTTTATATTATTTTTGAACAAAATACATAAATTCTCACCACCCAATGATAATTATAGAAAAAGTGAAAGATGATATGTTTTACTTATTAACCTGTTCGATAATCCAATAATGGGTATCTAGCAAGTGGCTAAGGTCAATATTCAAAACCAAAGTCTCCATATTTTATACTTAGTATAGCTGGCAAGCAGTAAGCTATTCAAAACGAGGTAAGATCTTTGTTTATATATCCATGCTCACATTTTTAAGGTAAGGTCTTTGTTTATACTTGATCTTGTCTCTTTGTTTATATTATTTTTCTGGTCGTCATTTTTATTTAAAGTTTTAGTCTACGTTTCCATCGTTACTCAAAGAGAAGATGCGACCTTGCACGAGTGAACAGAGTCAAGTGGTTGAGTTTGCTCTGGAAGGACCGTCACACCGGAGTGAGTACTTCAATCTTCTTAATATTTATTTACGCGTGCATATGGTGTAAACTCTGTTTATCTCCACAACCAAATTCTTATTATCGCCCCAAGTTTAGAATTTTTTTTTTCTACTTATAACTTAGTCAGAAATTATTGTCTCAATCTTTGCTAATAAACATCTAAAATGTACCATTATTTCACACTTATTATTCATAGAATCATTTATTTTGTCTTTAGAGTAGCCAGAGTTGGGCCTGGGTGAACTATAATTAACTGGATCGAGGAGGCTATATTCAGGTATGTATAAATGCTTTCTTCGCAGCTTTGGCCCTTCATTGTACATCTGATCTGTAAGTTAGACCCTTCGATCAGGGAGTTTATTTATAGTTGAATAAGTTTCTTCAGTATGGAGAAAAAAAATAGAAAGATAGATTGTAAGAAATTTAAGCTAAAACTAGTTAATATATAAATTAAATCAAATATTTTTAAGAAACTAATAGAAAAAAAAATGTTACAATTAAATGAACTTGTACATAAACTAATATTAATTATGTAAAAGCTTATATATGTCATTCAATTCTTTTTTCACTAGTAAATGTGATTTTGAAGAAATTTACTCTAATAAATCGTAAATAGCATGATGGCCATATGTATTTACAATTATAAAGAATGTTATATATATAGTGACATATAAAAAGTATTGGTATATGTATAAAATATATAAATATAAATTAATTTTAATATTAATTTTAAATAAAATTTAATAACATAATTTATATTACTATAATTTATATTTACACTTTTAAAAATATAATAATATATATTATATTTATAATTATACTGTAACTTAAAGTAGTTTTTAATTAGTGTAATGAATTAGTATATGACAATTTTTTCAAAGTGTGGCAAGCATACACTACAAGAAAAATGCAAATTTTTTATGGAAAATTTCTGACGGAAATGGATTTGACAGAAATTTCTGTCGGAAATTTCTGACAGATATATAAATCCGTCGGAAATTTCTGACAGAAATATAAATCCGTCAGAAATTTCTGACGGAATTTTCCGTCGGAAAATTTCCGTAGGAAATTTCTGACAGATTTATATTTCTGTCAGAAATTTCCGACGAATTTATATTTCTGTCAGAAATTTTCGACAGAATTATAAATTCGTCGGAAATTTCTTATTTTTAATTCTTATTTTTAATTCTTCCTTGTTATGTCTTCAAACGTAATCTAGCTTCTGTGATCTTCGTCTGTGTATTCGAGTTTCCGTCTGATTGGTTGTTGTAGATACTTGACTCTGTCTATGGCGGTTTAACTTAGTTTATACCATCGTCCATGATCTTGTATCATCTAAGGCTTCATTATTTTACTTCTTTTGCTGGGCTTGATTCTGTTTGATCGTTTGATCTCTTCATCTGTCGTCTTGTTAGCTTTTTCCCTTCATCTTGGTTGTTCGTGCTCTGGTCCTTTATTTCATTTATGTCTGGGTTTGTGGGTGTCTTCGTCTGATGTAGTTCCTTCTTTTGTTCATCCTTTATCCAAATGCTTGCTTCACATCTCCTTAATTCTGGTATGGATGTATATTCTTTATCCAGCAGTTTACCTGTACTTATATCTAAAACACTAACATAGTTGTTAGTAATAAAAATATGTATTATATTTGTCTCATTCAAAACCTTGCTGAGTGTTACTTTCGTCTTCATCTGACTTAACATAGTAGAGTCCATTCAGATTAATGAACTTATCTAAACCTTGAGTAGACAACAAACTATGAAAATTAAAGCCTTCCTTTGTCAGCTAGGAGGGATAGAGTACCTGAGGAGGAATGATATCTTTGCAAGTAAAAGATTCGTTGAAAATTTCCTCTTGAGCCTTTGTTGTGAACCAATGGTGAGAAGGTTCTTCCATGACTTCCTCTTGAGGAGAAGGTTCCCTTTTCTTCTTCCTTGTAGAAGATTCACCTTGAGTGGGTTTAGAAGTTTTTGGGTACTCATGGTTTTCCCTATGCTTCACCATTTTTCCTCTTCCAAGATTGTCCATTTTTTTTTATTTTGAAGAGTACACAAGAGAGGGGTTTAGGTTTTGAGAGAGTGTGTCTAGGTTTTGAGAGAGAAAATGCAAGAGAGAAGGTTTGAATGTGAAAGGTTTCAACTTGGGAGGGTTTTTGAAGTTTAAACAATTCAGAAAGGAGCAGTTTTTAAGCAGTTACGACGCAGGTAATCGATTACCTCCTTTGGTAATTGATTATCTTGACTAAATGAGAAGGATTTTGTTCTCTGGGTTCAGCGTAATCAATTACTAAATGTGGTAATCGATTATCACAATGAATGTGTAACGAAGAATGTGAATTTGCACCAGGGTAATCGATTATCTTGAGCAGTAATTGATTAACACGATGGTTTTTGACCTTTCTAACCTATTTTATTAATGGTAATTGGTTAACACGAGTGGTAATCGATTATCATAGAGACTATGATGTTTTCTAGTGTAATTTGTGATCCTAAGTATGAACAATTTAATACTCATGCATATTTCACTCATACAACTATGGTTTCCATACACAGTTCATTTATTAACAGATACACAAGTATATATTGATATTTAAGCAAGGTTATACTCACTAATGATAACGAGATTGGTTCTAAGCTTGTAATACATTTCCTTTGGTAGTGGCTTTGTGAATATATCAGCCAATTAATTTTTTGAATCAATAAACTCAATATCACAGTCACCTTTTTCCACATGATCTCTTATGAAATGATGTCGGACCTCAATATGCTTTGTTCTTGAGTGCATAATTGGGTTCTTTGAGATGTTGATAGCACTTGTGTTGTCACATTTTAGTGGAATGTGGTCTAGCTTCAATCCATAGTCTTGAAGTTGATGCTGAGGCTAGCGAAAATACACACAGAAAGGGGGGTTGAATGTGTGTGTTCGGATTCGAAGGAATACTTTAGAGTTTTTTTGAAAGAATACTCTTGGTTTGAAAACTTAAGCAGACTTTTCTGTCTAATGATTTTTTTCAACAAAATTGATTTTCAACGTAAGAGATTAAGTAAACTAGTTTTCCATCTGGAAAACGTTATCGTCTAGTAAAGTAGTTTTAAAAAGGTCAAGTATGTTTTCGTCCAAAGCTTTGTTGAAAAACGAAATATAACAAGAGCAAAGTAAGTAATACTGAAAAGTGAGGAGAACGCATAGAAGGTTAATACTAGTTCACTCAATCTGAGCTACATCCAGTTTCTTTTCGCAAAAGGGTTCCACTAATCACAAAGGATTACAAGTATTCTCAGCCACTTCTGGCTCGTAAACTAGACACTAGTATTCTTAACCACTTCTGGTTCTCCAAGTACTCTTGACCACTCCCTATGACACCCTTCTACCCCATAATAAATAAGTAACAACAATAAGAATAATTCAATAAATATAACATCAAGAAGGGTCCACATATTTTAATAAAAACTCATAGGTTCACAAGTCTTGAAATAAATAGAAATAATAATAATAATAATAATAAAGTTTTACTCTTAAAAGAAAATTATCAAGGTCTCTAAAGAAAATGAAAGGAATCCAGAATTTACAAATATAAGGTGAATATAAAACTCTTAAAAATAAGTCTCCTCAAACGACAAATAACAATTCATAACTAAAGCATCCTAAATTCATGCCCCAATGTCACATCCTATCAGAGCAGAACCCTTTCCCTTTAGAACTCAACACTATGAGTGCCTTCATCTTCACCTAAAAGAAAACCACATAAAAACAGGACGGTGAGAGATAGATAACATCATATATGAACATAGAGCTATTATATTATCATTATAAATTATAAAATTAAATAATTTAAGTTATTATTTTAAATAGAAATAAGTAGATGTTAATTATAAAAGTAAGTACATATAAAATAATTAAATATATTATTATTATTATTATTATTATTCGTAATATAAAATTATTATATATTATGATTATAGTACAAATATGAGATTGTATATTAGAGGATGACTTAAATGAATTAATTTGTACAAGTTATACTGACAATAGACATAGACATTTCGGTAGCTTACTCATCAGAACTTCACAGTTAAGCGTGCTTGACCTAGAGTAGTACTGGGATGGGTGACCTTCTGGGTAAACAGTGAAATATTGTGAAATAGAACCTTTGAGAGGCTAAATATGAGGGTTGTTACATTAATAAATTTAATAAAATTAAAAAAAAAAATTATTTCCGACGGAAAATTCTGTCAGAAATTTTGACAAATTTTTGACGGATTTTTTTGTCAGAAATTTCTGACGGATTTTTCCAACGGATATTTCTGTCAGAAATTTTCGACGGAATTTTCCGATAGAAAAATCCGTCCAAAATTTTTCGTCGGAAAAATTATTTCCGACGGATTTTTTTTTTCGACGCTACTTTTTCCGACGGATTGAAATCCGTCAAAAATCTGTCGGAAAAAGAAAAATCTGTCAAAAATTTACCTATTTTTGTCAAAAATTTCTGTCAGAAATCAATATTTTTCTTATAGTGATACGATGATAGCAATAAGATCAACACTTGTAACATGACAAATCGAAATGCTACAGTAGCCTGCCTAAAGGTATTCAGTTTAGGCACTAATCTGGACAAAAGAATTATACAAGAATCTTTGGTTATGACACCGTTTGGATGGAAGGCTAGTTGTCTTAAAATTTAAAGAAGCCTATTAGAGAGATGTGTCCCGTCACTTTAAAGACAATTTGAATTACTTTAAAGACAATTTGAAGTGTATTTGTAAGTCAATGGAAGAAATTGTGGTAATTTATCACTACTAGAAATTTTCTTATTATATATGATTTTCTTATAAATTTTTCATAAAAATTCGTAGAAATATTGTTTTTACAAATTCTTTTGCAAAATTTTATCTGCAGATAATATCTTCGTGGATAATATGTTTTGCGAATTTTAAAATTTGCAAGAAATTTTCCTGCGAATTTTCTTGCGAAAAAAATCACATAAAAGTTTCTTGCAAAAAAAAACTTCCCAGGAAAGTTTTCTACGAATTTTTTTGCAAGAAATTCTGCAAGAATATTTTTTATGAAAAAAAAATTAAAGAAATTAATATAAATTCTATTAAATATTTTTAAGAAACATAATCTTTTAAATTCTAAGATTATAGATTATAAGTCTAACATTCAACCATACAAATCAACTTGTAAGGTAAGTGTTGTTCCAACTTATATACTCTTTAATTTTTTTTTTATTTTCAATCAGTGTGGGACTTAAAGTTTTTTTAAAATATTAAACTCATAAATTAATTAAATATTTTTTTTGATTTTTCTGGTGGATTCAAATTGGCAGGAAAATCTGTAGGAAAATTTACCTTTAAAATTTTTCTACCATTTAGTAAACATTACTTATGAATTTATTTTTGCAAGAAAATTTGCAAGAAATAAAATAAAATTCTTACAATATTTTTTGAAAATTTTTACCATGGAAAAAAATTTCTTATTGATCATTAAAATTGTAGCAAAATTTGCAAAAATTTCTTGTAGATTATTTTTCATAAAAAAAATGTAAGAAATATCTATAAATTATTTTTCATAAATAAATTCATAAAAAATTTTGTATGAAATTATTATTGCAAAAAATTTCGCAAAAAAATTTTACGAATATTTTTTTTAGAAAAATTCGCAAGAAAATGACACTTTTCTAGTAATGTATCTAGCTGTATTATTCTCTTTTAAGATTCTCATATTGTACTTGAATGATTTATTCATACCACTCATCCTGAACACTTACAATCTCGAGTATAAAGTATTATGCAACACCAAACATGTAAATGATGTAATAATGATCCAATAGTGATGGTCCAATAACCATCCGATATGATAAGAGATGATTTGATAAATCTAATAACAAATAATTATTGTTAAAATAGAGTTTAATATTATCTTAAAAAAATTATTTTGATCTATATTCATTATTATATAGTCATCTCACTAATTTATGTAAAAACTCTGAAAGCTTGGTCAAGTTGTTGTTTTCCAAACTTTGTTAGCAATCATTTTCTCTCTTGCATACTGGGATAGTTGCAAATAGAAAACAAAAAATTATGAAATTAACCTACTCCTTTATGATGAAATAATCGTCAACGTGTGGTTGTTAATTTTCAAAGCAAATAAGTCTCAAGAAATACTTTTTATCGGATATTATTCACTTCAAGACTTGGTGAATTTTTTGAAAATGAATACAATGGAAAAGGTAGACCCTAATTAAGAATCGATGATAGATCTTCATTTACTATGTTTGAGGCACTATATATGTGGATTTAATTGGTAAACATGCACTCATCTTGTAACAAACAATACATGCATGTTGGATATATTTCAATAAGACTTCCTTCTTTGACTAATGAGAAAAATAAAAAAGATAGATGATAGATCATCATTTAATATGTTTGAGGCACTATAAATGTGGATTTAATTGGTGAACATGCACTCGTCTTGTAACAAGCAATACATGTATATATGTTGGATATTTTTCAATAAGACTTTCTTCTTTGTCTTGTGAAAAAAAAATAAAAAGACAAAACACGAACTCAAGTCTCAAGGAATTTATTTTTAATAATAATTTTTTCTGACAAATAAAAAATTACACGGTGCTGTATTGTAGGAAAAAATATATATTAATAAATGGAATAGTCTTATCTCACAATGAAGTGGTGGGTTCTTTAATGTATTATTCAATAAAATTTATTAACAAGGGGAAACTAATAAAAACCAAAAAAAAAAAATTTAAAACAAATTTATTATAAGTTTAAAATGTCTTTGTTAAGTAATTGAGAACATTTATTATCGGTCAAAAATATGATGACAATACTAAGAGTTGAACTTAAGATCGTGTGCATACACATATATACTTGTTTTAATATATAAAATGGCGGGATTAAATTTATAACCTAATTTTATAACCATGGAATTCATAAACATTAACTCAACCATTCAGAATGAGATCTACCTTACTAGTTGTTGTTAGCTAGATACCTTAGGTAATTGGTATTCAAGTTATTCATCTCTTAAAAAATTCATAGTTGGCAATAGGTTTATATAAAATTAAAATTATTCATTTATATCTTCATTTTTTTTTTTTTTTGCAGTTGATTCCCTCTCGTCTTGCTCTCGGCTAGAGAATCAAAAGCTTAATACTAAAAACGTAAAGTGAGAAACTAGAATGATACTGCTTCCAAGTAAGTTTTGTATATGCTTGCTCTTTAAATCTTAAAAACTTTTGTTTTCATTTACCCAATTGCTCTCTATTTTTTTCTCTATAACTTTCAAATTTGTTATTTTCAATTTTACATTAAAATCTCCTCTCCTTTTTTCTCCTTTTAATCCATTACTGCTTGCTCTTAAATTAATTATTTTCATTTTCTGCTGTTTTCATAATAAACAAAAGTCTACATAGTAAATACTAATTTTAAATTATGATAAAAATATGTTTTAGGTTTGTTAGTCCATTTGGTTAAAATTGGTTTTAACCCCTACATTTTAGAATCAGTAGTTTCAGTTCTTGTATTTCTGAAATACATAAGATATAGTCTTTGATTATATAATTCTTTGGATTTCACGAAGGATTAAAGCCATCGCATTTTAAAAAATAGATATTAAATTAAGTTTTCACTCAAACTCTAACTTAAAAGGAGTTAAACTGAAACTATTGTTTTTTTATCTACACCATCATGAAATATTTCTGATCTCAGTCATAGGTACTTGGATGTCCATAGAAGGGCACAGGAGGTTAGCTCAAATAATCCCAGATGAGGTGCAAGAATGGTGGGACAAATGGGAGTTACGAGGACTCATTTTGCTTAGCCTTCTATCGCAGATCATATTAACATTATTGGGCAACCGTACTAAGTATAAACCAAATATTTGCACACGACCACTTGTTTGGTCTGCCTACCTGCTAGCAGATTGGGTAGCAGCTGTAGCAATGGGTGTCATCTCCAGCAATCTTGGAGATTATTACAACAAAGGTGAACAACCAAAGAATGTAGATCCTCAACTTCTTGCATTTTGGGCTCCTTTTTTTCTAATGCACCTTGGTGGTCCTGATACAATCACAGCTTATGCATTAGAAGACAATGAGTTATGGTTAAGACACTTGGTTGGTTTGCTGTCTCAAACTGCCCTCACTGTCTACATAATTTTTATGTCTTGGAAAGGCAATTGGCTTTCACATATCACCATTCTCATGCTAATTATTGGGATCATCAAGTACGCCGAAAGGACTTGGTCTCTCTATTGTGGAAGCATCAAGAATCTCAGAGATTCTTTCCTTCGTTCAATTGATTCTTCTGAAAAGAGTGAACAATGGCAAGAACCAAGGGCTAGCGCTCCTATTGACAGTGTAGAAGATTTCGTGCAGGGACTAGCTGATTCAATTGCGGATTCAGTCACAAGAAGGAGCCGTCGGATAGGAAACCAAAGGGTTTTTCTTAGGGCTATTTATATATTTATAAGCCTCTTTGTTGATTTGGTCTTGGGCCCATGGGATATTAATCGAGACAAAAAAGAATTTCAAGCCGAGGGGCGTTTCGGCTGGTCCGTTCCTTTTTCCACAGTGGATTATGAACTCAAATTGATGTACGATGTTTTCTACACCAAGGCATTTGCAAACTATGGCATCTTGGGTGTGATTTCACGCTTGATCACTCTAACTACCACTATCGTTGTACTTGTGTCATATGCTAATTCAAATGCAAAGATGGAGCACCTGGTTGAGGATCACATCATCACATACTTGTTGTTGGTTGGAGCATTAATAGCAGAAATATATGCATTTATATCAGCTTCCTTCTCTAGATGGACGAAGCACTACTTTGTAATTAAGGGCCTAGGACTATGTTGTTGGCTTTATGAGTGTATAGATTGCCTAACATTTTTTGGCAAGGGTGGAGTCCGAATTTCTTTGGGACAATCTGACTTCTTCAATTTGATTTGCAACAAAAAATTGAACATAAAGGGTAATTTCTTCCCGGTGAACAACATTGAAGAACTCCCAAGTGTTAGCCATTGCTTAACCTCTGATCATTTACAACAAGCGATCCACAAACACTTGTATGATAAATCAGAGAAAGGCTCACAATCAAATGCTTCGGGCGCCCCTGGATATAGAAATCTTTTATTGGAGAAAAATGGTCCAATTTTCTCAAGTGAACTTGAATTTCATAGAACCATTATTACTTGGCATATTGCTACAGATCTATTTTATTACTCTAATGATGAGTCAAGTTCTATATTTGACTCAAGGAAGAACTGCAAAGAGATGTCTGATTATATGTTTTACCTCTTGATCAAGCAACGCCACATGTTGCCGGTGGGTGCAGGGCTGATAACTCTTCGTGACACAATAATTGAAGCCATGAAATTTTTTGAGCACATCAAAGTTGTTCCAGAAAAAAAGAATTTAGCTCAAACTTGTACGATGTTGCTTCAACAAGACACAGTTGCTACAACAAGAGATGATGAAGCCTCATCCTCAGGAATGCAAACTACGTCTGTTCTGTTTCATGCATGTGAGGTCGCAAAACAACTCAATGCTGAACAATATAAACATCTGGTATGGGACTTTCTTGAAGAATTATGGGTTGAGATTATGTGCTATGCTGGTGCACAATGTAGAGTAGATATGCATGCTCATCAACTTAGAAGAGGCCCTGAATTTCTCTCTCATATCTGGCTCCTTCAAGCTCATTTTGGTTTGTTGGATCAATTTCAGATATCATCTCATCAGGAAAGTGTGTAAATATGCCAAACCTGTGAATAAGGAAACCATAATTCACAATCTAGTCTCAGACATTTGATGTTGTTATTTGTAGTAGCTTGTGTTGATTTGTTGGACTTGGATACTATGTTGAGTCACCGGTACTTTATTAAATTTACATATTTGATGTTATTTATAATAGCTTGTGTTGATGCGTTAGACTTGGGTACTATGTTGAGTCACCTATACTTTATTAAACTTACATATATGCATTATTGTTGGTGATTAGGATATATATATATATATATATAG